CTGCAGTGATGTGTCTACACCACACCCCGGGTCACTCCTGCAGTGATGTGTCTACACCACACCCCGGGTCACTCCTGCAGTGATGTGTCTACACCACACCCCGGGTCACTCCTGCAGTGATGTGTCTACACCACACCCCGGGTCACCCCTGCAGTGATGTGTCTACACCACACCCCGGGTCACTCCTGCAGTGATGTGTCTACACCACACCCCGGGTCACTCCTGCAGTGATGTGTCTACACCACACCCCGGGTCACCCCCGCAGTGATGTGTCTACACCACACCCCGGGTCACCCCTGCAGTGCCACTTCTCTCCCAGCCCTTAAGTAGCCCAGGCTGCCCTCTTTTGACCCATTGCAGGCCTGCCCTGGCCTCTGAGGCTCGCCTCGCTGATGTGAGCACCCCTGGAGGAGGGGGTTAAATCAGCCCTCACCCATCAATCCTTACCCAGCCTTGTTTACTGGGTCCACGACTATGCGGTGGGGTGGGCGACCCTCTCCAGATCAGAACTAGGTAACACTAACACTGCTTCCTGTTTTCTTTTTAAGGGGAAAGTGAGACAGGGTCTCATTCTGTGGTCCAGGTTGGTCTTAAATTCATGGTAATCCTTCTGCCTCGGTCTTCCAAGAGCTGACATTACAGACATAAGCCGGGCTTCTGGTAGCGCTCTTATTTAGAGACACACTTTTACAGAAGTCATTAGAAATGAGATTGGCAGGGCCAGTCCCTGTCCTACATGGTTGTTATTGTGATAAAAAAGTGAGACTTGGGCCAGTAAAATGGCTCAGCATGGGAGGGCTCCTGCCACCAAGCCTGAGGACCTGAGTTCCATCCCTGGGCCCTGGGTAGGAGAAAACCCTCTGTCCTCCATACACACACACACACACACACACACACACACACACACACACACACACAATGAAATTACAAAGTAAAACTTGGAGACCGGCACACAGGCAGGAGAACTGGAACAGTCTCCTGTGACCCTCGGAGCCAACCCTGCCCTTCACTGTGGACTCCCAGCTCCTGAGCTGACAGATTTCCAAGCCCACAGACTTGGCTTGCTGTTATGATCCCTGGCCACGCCTCGTCAGGTGGGGTCAGCTTCTCTCTTCACACCCTGCCTAGACGTGCCTGGGACTTCAGTCAATTTTCCCAACAAAACTAGGCTCCTGAAGACAGGAGCACGGAGGCCAATCTCACCAGCCCGTTTCTCCACTCACCTCTCACCCATCCCCACTTTCATCCAAGCTGCACACACACACACACACACACACACACACACACACACACACACACACACACACGCAGGCACGCACACACGCACGCGCGCGCGCGCGCACACACTCTGGACCCAAGCCACTAACATCACCTCACTTTCCCCAGTCCCTTCTCCACCCAGAATATCCTAAAGAACTTGTTCCCATGAAGACTAACCCCCTGCCACACACCCCCGTCTGCTTCCCAAGGGGGAGGCTGCTCACTCTCCCACACTCCCAGGGCCCAGGGCAGGAAATAGCACAGATCTGCTTCCTGTTCCCAGTTGCCGCTTCTAGAACATCCATCTCCCTCCCTCGGATGTTCTCTCCGACACCCAAACAGCTCCCACGGCCAAGGTCCCTTTGTCTCACCTCTGTGGAGAACAGCACACCGGCCATCACCTCAAGAGATTGCAGCATACGAGGAAGGACCGTGAAGCCCCAGGCTCACAGTTCCCCTTCACGGGGACATCCCTCCACCCCCAGGCCTCATCCAGACCTGTGCCACCCAGTGAACCTCTCGTGGTGGTCCCCGCTGCTCACTGGCCTCTCTCCTCCCTCCCTCTCACCACCCCGCTCTCTGCCCTTCCCTCTCGTCCCAACAGGAGCCTTGTCATGCCATGTCAGATGTCCCCTGTCCCCTGGGTTCCACCACCGCCCCTGGAGTAATGGTTGGCTATCCGTGACTTCCCATCGGCCCTGACTCCCACTTGGCTCTGAAATTTGGTTTTCATCCACACATTACTGCACTATATTACTCGCTTTCTTTAAACACACACTCTGTAATTCCATTAAACGCATCACAGAACTAAGACGACCATTCGGCCCCTTCTGCCTCTCCCTCCAGACATTTCTTGTTCCTTTGAGCCGTTGTTGGAAATTGATCTTTTCTTGGTTGTCTCTGCTCTCTGCTTCCTGTTTCTGGCCTCCCACCCTCTCCCGGGCCCACTGACACCTGGGGGCCTGCCTCGCTAGCCCACTGAAATTGCTAGCACGGGATGTCCCCTGTGGTGTTAGAAACTCCAAGGCTATGGACACTCTGAGCCTCTTTGATAACCAGGTGACATATGCTACCGTTGTCACCCAAGACACCAATGTTCCTCTTTCCCTCAATGTCCAAGGGCTCCTTGACACTGTGGGCCGACAGATCCAGAGCCGGGATGCACATGGTCACTGTCCTGCAGACTTCTCACCCATGAGGGGCAGAGCTGCCTCTGAGGTGCAGCACCCAGGCAGCGTCCCCCCTGCCCACATCTAACTGGGGGCTCTCCCTCTGAGGTGCAGCACCCAGGCAGCATCCCTCCTGCCCACATCTAACTGGGGGCTCTCCCTCTGAGGTGCAGCACCCAGGCAGCGTCCCTCCTGCCCACATCTAACTGGGGGCTCTTCATGACCATGTTATCACTACTCTCTAGAAATCTCTACTTCCCTGGAAGGTCCTTTCTCATTCTTGAAACTGGTCCCAGAATTTCATCACACGGGAAGCCTTCCCTGAAGCCCCAAGGTCAAGCAGGGGAAATAAGACACAGACAGCTGCTGCCTGGAGGCAAGTCAGCTGCAGCCCATGACACAGGTAAAACAGAAAGTGACTCAGGTGTAGCTGGAGGCCAGAGGTCTTGCTCTCCGCCAGGTATCAGCTCCTTCAACTGCAGCCGGTCAGTCCCCACAGGGCCTCTCCCTCCATGTGCTCCACCCCGCCTCTTCCCCACCTCCTCATTCCCTGCCCACCGAGTTTATCAGCGAAACACCCCGCTTTCAGCCACCTCCTCTATCCTGCATTCATCCTGAACTTAAGGGCCTCCCGGCCTTGTGCGCATGATCCAACACTGGCATCCACCCACCCCAAAGCTGCGCGCGCGCGCACACACACACACACACACACACACACACACACACACACACACACACACACGCACACGCGCGCACACACGTCTGGGGGCTTGCAGGCCAGCAGCACAGTGACATTTAGGGAAGGAAAAGCTAGGGAAGGCCCCTATAGACCCCGGAAGAAGGCATTCTGGGCTGACATACCCAAAGCATGGCAGGGAGGCACAGGCGCCCTAACAGTCTCACCCATGAAGACTAGTGGACCGAAGAAAGACAAGTCACCCTCCAAGGTGTAGCACCCAGGCAGGGTCCCCCCTGCCCACATCTAACGAGAGTGTTCTCCATGTTCACATAATCGATTCTTCCAGAACGTCCTATCTCCCTAGAAGTGACAGAGCGTTAGGGAACCATGGCAGAACTACCTCACCCTGCCTGAGGGACTCAAAGACGGCCTTCCTGGAATCACTGACCTCTATACTAAGACCGGAAGGCAGTTGGATCTTGGGGACCCATGAGTGCCACCATCGTGAGCTGTCGGATAGAAATGGTTCTGCCTCTTCACCATCAAAGCAAAGGACCACGAACCGGGTGGTAACACTGGAGCCGGAGGCGGGAGGTCCAGGTCAGAGTCATCTTCAGCTACCTGCTCAGTCTGAGACCACCCCGGACTACGTGAGACCAGGTATTGAAAACCAAAAAAAACACAAGCTAGGGACCACAAAACAGGGTGGCAGGGAGTGAACGGGCCAAAGGTCGCTGTGCCTCACTGTGACATCTTCTCAGTCCCGCGGGCGCAGCCCCATGGGCCTCACGCATTTGAGAGAAAATGTCTCAGGCTCAGACCCGTCTCCCTGGGTACAGTCACTTCGACTTGGCAGAGAGGCCTGGAGTGAGTGGAACTCCTGACCGGGACCGAACGGAGACACGGGGGCCCATGCAGCCCCGGGGGCTCGAAGGTGGGGCCAGGCTATGCTGAGGAGCCCTGGCCAGGGGAACTCAGGCCGCGTCCTTTGCATCTTCCCATTGTGAGATGGCAGCAGGGGGAAGAGAGACGCCTGGAGTGTTTGTTCCTTGGAATAGGAAAGTTTGCTGCGGTTGAATTGTACAAATAGCGTGTGTTTGTTTGTTTACCTGCACATTCCGCCGTCTACGTCTCATAACCGCCCTCCAGTGGGCAATCCTTTTTACCTTACCCCGCAAAATACAACACTTGCTCAGACTCCGGTTTGCGGACCACACTGCCAGGGTCTAGTTCAGGGAAACAGCCTCAGGAGTCTGCTCCCTTTTCTTCCCGGGTCTTCTGCCTGCTGACCACGAGAGGGAGCCAGCGCGCCTGTTTGCGCCGCTGCGGGTGGCCTGGCAAAACTCCAATGAACAAAATTCTGTAGAGCCCTGAGGTTTGGGGTAACTTCTTTTAAAACAATAAAAATTTGGCGAGCACGAAAAAGACTTTCTGATCTTTGCTACCTCGGTTTCACATCATGTGTACAGGAGGGGAGGGTTGTTTCGGTGGTGGTGGTGGTGGTGGTGGTGGTGGTGGTGGTGGTGGTGGTGGTGGTGGTGGTAATACTTGCTTTATTTTGTTTTTAGTTTTTGAAACAGGATCTCATATAGTTGTCGTTGACCTCGAACTTACTATGTAACGGAGCCTAGAACGCCTGATCCTCCTGCCTCTACCCTCTGAGCCCTGGAGTAACAAACATTCAATCCGAGGCATGGCTGAGTGTATGTGTTTATTGACCCCTTTTATTCTAAAGAGTATAATATCAGTAATTCTATAGGATGGATATTAGATAACTGGTATGTAGATGGGACACAACCGTGGTTTTTCAGTTGTTTTTTAGAATATAAGAATATAAAAATTACGGTTCTTGTTTTTTTTTGTTTTGTTTTTTTTTTTTTTTTTTTTTTTTTTTGGTTTTTCGAGACAGGGTTTCTCTGTGTAGCTTTGCGCCTTTCCTGGAACTCACTTGGTAGCCCAGGCTGGCCTCGAACTCACAGCGATCCGCCTGGCTCTGCCTCCCGAGTGCTGGGATTAAAGGCGTGTGCCACCACCGCCCGGCCACGGCTCTTGTTTTTATGTTTGAGAGATAAGGTTTTGTTTTGGGGTTTTACTATTGTTTGTGGATGGGTGGCTTTTCTGTTGTTCAAAACAAGATCTCATTTAGTCCAGGCTGGCCTTGAATTGGCTACGTTGAACTTTCGCCTGTATTCCAGGCAGGCCCACCACGCCTAGTACAAAATAGCTTCTTACTATATGTTTTAAAATTACTGGGGGGGGGGGGGTATGCATGCACATACATGTGCCACGGCTCTTCTGTGGAGGTCACAAGACACTTCGCTGGAGTGCTTTCTCCTGCCACCATGTGGATCCTGGGGATCCCTCAACTCAAGTCATCAGGGTTGACAAATACCCACGGAGCAGTCTCACCCAGCCCACAAAATAGTTCTTAATTCCATTCCGTGAAGCCAGCTGAATAGCAGGCAGAGGGGACTGGAAGCCCCAGATGCTTTTCCACCATGGAATTATGTAGAGCAGGAGGAAGGTTTACTCGGTGGCTGCTAGACAGTCAGGGGTTAGGCCTTGCAGACTTCGTGGCAAGGTGACCACCTGTGAAGACCGTGTGGCAAGGTGACCACCTATGAAGACTGTGTGGCAAGGTGGCCACCTGTGAAGACTGTGTGGCAAGGTAACCACCTGTGAAGACTGTGTGGTGAGGTGGCCACCTATGAAGACTGTGTGGCAAAGTGACCACCTATGAAGACTGTGTGGCAAGGTGACCACCTGTGAAGACTGTGTGGTGAGGTGGCCACCTGTGAGTTGAGGAACAATAAGGGCAGGCTCTGGTGACAGAGATTACGGAATTAAGGAACGCTTTAGAAGACTGTGAAGGAATAACTGAGAGACGAGGTTCCTGATCAAAGAGAGAGGAGCCGGAGGGACCCAAAGCAAACCAAGGGGGTGATTCAACACTGGCTGGAGCTTGAGGCAGGAAGAAGAGGGGATTGCTAATCAGTGTCCTCATTTTTGCTGTATGTTTTTAATTATATGAGAGCGTGTGTAAGCGTGCGTGTGCATGTGCGTGTGCATGTGCGTGTGTGTGTGTGTGTGTGTGTGTGTGTGTGTGTGTGAGAGAGCATGTGTGTGTGAGAAGATTTGATTCCCTCAAAGCTGGAGTTGCAAGTGAGCTACCCTGTGGGGTGCTGGGAATTGAACTTAGTCTCCGGCAAGAGCAGTGAGCACTCGGCTAGTGAGGCCATCTCTAGCCTCTCAGTGCCTACATCTTAATTACGGTAATGTGTATAAAATAATAGAACAGACACACACGACTTACTCAATCCAGGGCTTGTCACCCAGGTCACAGGCCCTTGCGATCACTCCAGCACATACAGAATGAATCTAGATACAGAGGAAGGGGATTTATTAGAGTGACTTATAGACTGTGGTCCAACTAGTCCAACAGAGGCTGTCTACCAACAAAAGGTGCTGCAGGCCGCAGGAATATATCATAAGAACTCAGCTGGTTATGGCAAAGTCACTACCTGGAGGGATCAGGGAATTCCTCCAGAGGAAGCCAAATTCCAAGGAGTTTTGGTGTTACTTGGCTTGTTATATATCAGCTGTCCTCTGTTATGAAAATCATGTGTGCCTTCATAGTTATCCCCATTGACTTTTCCCTAAGAAGGGCTAACAGTGTGCACTGATCACTCTCTGGACATACACATTCCAGGTATTTGGAGAACAGCCTCAGGAAAGGCTTTCTCTGGAATCAGATATCTCCCTTAGCCACTTTCAAGGACTAGCAATGATAACAGTCCACGTGCAAGTCTCCTGATTTAAGGTAAATTCCACAAGGAGACACCACCTAGGTCAGGTGGATGTTCATTAATAGCTTTACACAATTCAGCTCGGACCCCTCTTTCTTACAGCCTTACTAACTTTATAGACCGCTAACTCCTTACCTAACCACTTCTAGGAATATTTAGATAACCTCCTGCACTGACAGCTATGCTCAGCCAGAACCCCAGTTCAAGCCTCCCTGTAATTATCATCATTAGCAGCATCTGGCCAGGTCCGTCCCCAGATGGAGAAGAGTACTTTATCAGAGATACCTCTGTATTCTCTAAGAACAGACTTAACATCCAGGCTACCTGTTTGAGAAGGCCTGGCGGATGTGCCAATTAAGCTTTACTTCCTCCTTTCCCAAATCTTACCTCTGGTTCCAGATCTCCCTTTAACTATCACCAGAGGCATCTAGCTGTACACAGGTTGCCTAGCGACTGAGCACACTTTCCCCCACCCTGCAGAAAAAACTGGCAGATAGCTTGGACAGATAGGAGCCACAGGAAAAAAGAAGACAGTTTTATTTTCTCCCATTGACCTAGCAACTTATAGATTCTTAACATTTTCTACCAATCACGTTTAAGATTATAGTTGAGCACATAAGAGCCCTCTTCTTAGATATTACCTGAATTCAGCCTTTAGTTAATTCATTTCCCCATTGGTCACTTCCTTTGGGGTTGCAAATCATAATTAACGGTTATTGCCTCTCAATGTGATTCTTATCACCCCTCCGTTTGACCCTGGAAGCCTGGCTTTATATACCAGGACTTCCAGGGCACGGGGGTCGGAGAAGAGAAAAGAGAATGGAAGAACTAGACGGGTAAGAACTTGAGAGGAACAAACTGAGATGGGGAAGAACTAGATTGAAGGGCTAGAAGAGAGTACTAGAGGAACAAGATGGAAGATGAGGATGAGCCAGATGGGGAAGAACGAGATGAGGAAGAACGAGATGAGGAGAGAGAAAGAGATGGGAGAAAAGATGATATGGGAAGGAACAAGATGGATGAGAACCTAGAAGGAGCAGAACAAGATGAAGGAATTAAGATAGAACCCAGAGGGGACCGCGGACAAGTGTAGAGAGAAATCAGGCAAGAAAAGACCTAAATATGAGAGCAGAATACAAGCTTGTAACTGACACAGAATAATAAAGTATATGGACTAAGGAGTTTCGTGTACATAGATTCATTTCTTCTCATCAAAGATTAATTATCAGCTGGTTGTAGATTCTTCCCAGACCCTGGGAGGGGACTATCGAGGGGTTGGACCCCCTTAGTCCCCGATAAAAAGGTCCAAGAATCCAGTAATTGTTCAGTCCACAAGGCTGAATGTCTCAGCTGGTCTCCACTATATGCCAGAACCCTGAGGGAGCAGACTATAATGCCAGTGAAGGGATGGACTTGCCATCAAGAACAAAAAGCCAAGCAGGAAAAGAGCAAAAGCTTCCTTCTTCCACGACCTTTATACGGGCTGCCAGCAGAAGCTGTGGACAGATTAGAGGTGGGTCTTTCCATCTCAAAAGATCTGGATCAAAAGTAGGTCTTCCTACTTCAATTATTTTAATTAAAAAAAAAAAATCCTGCCAGAAGGTGGTGGCACATGCCTCTGATCCCAGCACTCGGGAGGCAGAGGCAGGCGGATCCTATGAGTGTGAGGCCAGCCTGGTCTACAGAGCGAGTTCCAGGACAGCCAGGGCTACACAGAGAAACCCTGTCTCAAAAAATAAGAACAAACAAAAAAATCCCTCACAAGTGTACCCAGCCTCTGGGGTTTTAGTTAATTCCAGTGTAGTCAAGTTAACAACCAAAAATAGTCATCACAGTGAGAAAGATTGCATTGTGAGGCCTAGAAGATTCTCTCTTCTCCAAAGAAGAGAGAACTCAACCCTCACTCCCCCAGAGCGCCTCTGAGCAGGAATTCCTGGGGCTGGAGGCGGGGGATTTTTTAGCAGAAATCTTCAGGTCAGTCATGAATAGTCATTGCTGAGAAGGGACACAAGCCTTGGGCTCTCTCAGTTCCAGTCTGTCATGGTCTCCAAACAGGACTGGACTGTCCTTGAGTGGGAGGCTCATGGGAGAGAAACCAGCAAGATTTTGAAACAGCATGTGGGCCCTAGATCTCACCAGCACAGGGCATGGCATGGACCCCATGGGAACATTCACCTCTTCTCGGATTCCTGGGTCCCCAGTGGACGCTGGCACTTGTTGAGGACAAAGGTCACCATCAAACACTGCTTGGGAGAGACCGAGGGCCCTAGACAGAACGGCTGCCTTCGGACACACCCCAGCTGGCCTCAGTTGTACCTGAGTTCCTGTTCATCACAACACTGTGCCCGGCACACACAGTCCTCTCCAGGGGGTTGGTGGGGGTTACACAGACCATGTCATAGGCAGGCCGCAGAAGGGCATGCGAGCAAAACTGCTACGCTGCGCAGCCCTGTCAACAAGTCTCCAGAGTGGCCCTGCCAATGCTAGGGCTAGACGGTTCTTCGCTGACCTTTGCACTGTGGGATCTTTAGTGTCCCAGATGTTACCCATGAAACGACAGCAGGGCCCTGTGAACTGTGACAAAGGTGTCTGCAACTGGAACCAAACGTTGGGGGGGGGTGGCGATGTTGCCCCAACTGACGTTGGCTGGACTGTGGTGTTTGCAGTGTCCAGCAGCCTTGGCCTCCTCCCAGCACGCTAAGATTTCTCCATTCTCTTTCTCAAAAAGTTGTGTTACTAAAACCTGGGCCCTCAGGACCTGCTGCTCTGTTCTTTCAAAATACGACGAGTGAATTCCCAGTCAGTTATTAATGGAGAAAGGATCCCAGCTGTTCACCTCCGCATGCCTTCCATCGTTACTGGAGCTCTTTCTTAGAAGCAATTCTATGACACGAATTCTGTGTCACAAAGGCTCAAGACGACACGAGCTGGGACGGGGACAATGAGCATTTTACGTGACCCGCCGCACAAGCCGCCGCCGCTGAGCCTGTGTGGGTTCCCACCGACCGGAGACAAGGAGCTCGCACAGGCACCCATGCCAGCCTTGGAGTGTGAGCCAAAGGCCGTAAATGAAAGTGTGGAGGATTTGGGCCAGGAATGGTGCCTGATTGTAATCCCAGTTCTCTGAGGCAGGGGGATCATAAATCCCAGGCCAATCTGAGTTATATGAATCAACCCCTCCCACCCCCTGCTCTGTGTGTGTGTGTGTGTGTGTGTGTGTGTGTGTGTGTGTGTGTGTCCCTCCCACACACACACAAAAGAAAAAGAGGAGAGAAAAGGTGAGGATGGCAGGCAGTTTCCAAACCTCACCCTGAAACCGGTGTCCCCAGTGCCCCGCTCTGCTTTTCTCAGAGACCACTGGCCGGCACCACCGAAGAGATGAGGGAATGAGGGACAAGAGCCCAGGCAGCAGCACCCCACGAGCTGGAGCAGCCTGTGACCTGAAGGCATTCCTCAGAAACCGTCACCGCCCTTGAGTCAGCCCAGCCCGGCTCGAACGCTTATTCACAAACTACAATTTTAGCACAACGGGGTACAGCTAAGAGCTCCGAGAAACCCACCCACCTGTGACAGGCCAGCGAGCTGTTCAGCCCCCTCTGGTGGATGTCCTGTTAGTCATAGACAGCATCTGGCCCAGCTCCCCTACCTCCCCCTTCTTTGTATCTCCAGACATTTTACTAAGCAGACACTGAGTCAGAATAAGTCGGTTTAGCAATTAAAATCTGTGTGGGGGCTGCCTCGGGGAGCATGTGGCGGGTCTGGAAATAAATATCCCTCCAGTATGGATCGTGCATGCATTGCAAAAGCAGAGATGTAATATGCATGAAGCTGAGCAGGGGCCGGGCGCTTGCTGAGATTCCTCCGTTAGCAGAGACAGGAGGGGGAACAGTTCACTTGCAGGTTAACCGCGTGGTCTAGGACACAATTGTCCTTAGGGGTTTAGAGCAGTGCGATTCTGTCAAAGGAAACATAGACCTGGTTCTGAAAAAAGAAAGTTCCATCAGGAACCTTGTTCAGGCAAGTCATACCCTTGGACTACATGCATTACACCAAACCCAGGCTATTCAGAGAAAAAGCCAGGTAGTGGGCACACACATTCCCAGCCCATACATACTCTGAGAAATCAGGGCCCGGAGGGATGTATTCTGAATAAACCCGGGAGGCCACAGAGCCCACCTACAACACCTCAGCTCCAGATGGGAGAAAAAGCTGCCAGTAATTGTGCCCCTGGCTGCAAGCCTGTTACAGGGCCAGTCACGTCAGAGCGGGTCACTTTTAGCTTTTGCAGGTGAGAGCAGAGCCACCTGGAGAGAACGGACTACCTTTGCTTGGTTTAAGGAGACCAAAACTTACCTTTCATGTCCACAAGGACCACCCACTGGACTACAAATGTTCCTGGATTACAGGCGGCACCGCCACCCTGGGCAGCTGGTGCAAACATCTGGCACCTGGGATGTAGGCAGATTTAAGGGTAAACACACTCTGGCAATCATCTGCACCCCCAAATCCTGGGTCTCTTCCCCAGAACCTGCCACTGCCTCTTAGCAGCAGCAGAGACCAGCAATGCCGCCGACTGCATACCCAGGCTGGGTAGTACCCCTGTACACACTGCCCACTCTGGAAACTCCTGTAAACCAAGGAGCAACACACAGTCAAACATCCCCACTGTAAAGATTCACGAAAACCACCCATGGGCCTCTAAACACCGCTCCTGCTGCCCTGGTGTGAACAGACAGCTACCAAGTCCCTTTCCAGGTCCTTGAAGCTTAAAGATGACATTTCCCATCACACTAACCACCCCTCATCTTTCTGGCCTCAGCGGCCTTAGCCACTGCACCTCCTGAGTGTGCTAAGCTGCCTTCCTGGTCCGCTCAAGCTGCCTCATAAGTGGCTGCAACAGGCCAACCCTGGGGCTCTAACCCAGGACCACTGCGTCCACCTCACAGCTGAGGACGCCAAGGCAAGCTGCCAGGTTTCTGTGAGTGGGCTTCCAGCTCCTCCATTTGACTTACATCCCAAAGTACTCGGGGAGGGAGTTGCTGAAAAATCCTAGTTACCTTTGTGAGAAAGAAATCAGTGATGGTGGAGGCTGAAGGTGGACGGGATAATTTAAGTTAAGGAAAGCTGGCCAGAAACTAAGCCAGCTAAGGCTGGGCAGCTAAGGCTGGGCATTCGTAATTAAAACTAAGCCTCCGTGTGTGATTTATTTGGGAGCTGGGTGGTGGGCCCCCCCTAAAATAGCGAAAACAACCAGCATGGTGGGATGACCAATCCTCTGTCCCTGGTGAAGAGTCACCAAGCAGCAGGTGTAGATGCTGAGGACTAGCTGGCCATGGACAAAGCCAGAGCACTCCGTAGGGTCAGGCAGGACAATCCTGAAAGTTCTAGGCTAGCCTGGTCTCAGGCTTTCTGTTACTTGATCAACACAGTGACCAAAAACAACCCGGGGAGAAAGCGGGTTACGTGGGGACACATCCTGGTCACAGCCCACCGCTGATGGATGCCAAAGCGGGAGCTAAGGGGCAGGAACCTGAGACAGACATGGGAGCAGAGGCCATGGGGGAGTGGTGCTGGCCGTGAGTCTCCAGGCTTGTGCTGCCTCTTCCACCCCCAGAGCATCTGTCCAGAGGTGGCACGGTCCACATGTGCTGGACACTCCCACATCAACCATGAACCAAGAAAATGATCCACAGCCTTACCTGCAGGCCAGGATGGGGGTGAGGATGACGATTTCTCCATTGTGGTTCTCTTTCCAGAGGATCCTGGTGTGTCAAGTTGACAAAAAATAACCAACCAGCACATCACAGTCCATACACCCCAAAAACACCCCTAAACACACATACACACACACACACGTATATATGAACATACACACAGGTAGACACAGGCACACACACACACATACACACACACACACACACACACACACACACACTCCCATTTGCAAGCTTACATGCATACATGCACATGCACATGCGCACACATGCACACTCATGCACACACACGTACACATGCGCAAACATGTACATGATGCATGTGTGCAAACACACAGGCACACATGCACACACATGCACACACATGCACACTCATGCATGCGCATGCACACATGCACACACACGTGCACAATACTCGCATGCAATGGGAAACACTGTGATGCGAGCTTGCATGCTCACGTGCACACAGGCACACTCACTAGAATACAAGCAGGCACCTAACAACCTAATCCTAGTAACTAGTTTCAGAATGATGGCTTCCCTCTCCTGCCCTTTCTGACTCGCACCTGCTCTGGTGGAAACCCCACCTCAGCTCCCCTCCCCCACCTTAGCAACCCTCCCCACACCCTGCCGGGTCTCAAGCCCACCAAATTCAGCTCCTCCCCCAGAGATCCCGAGACCACCCCCACAGAGTATTGAAACTGCACCCCAGAAAACAGACACGTGGTTTTTCGGTCTCTCTTCCCATCTCCTCTCTTGGGGGTGGGAAAGCATCCAGTGCGTTTTACCTACTAAACCGGGGCTTTTCTAATTCGGTTTGATTTGGTCTGATTTGGATTGCTGCGTCGGTGGAGAGGCTTATGGGGTGCAGAAACTTCTCAGGACCCTTATCGACTAGCACATCAGCACATGCAGGACTATCAGAGCCTTTGACTCCCTAAGCCACCTAAAGAGTGTGTGGAAATCACCACTGCCACAGGCAGCACTCGACCTACAGGGCACACTGCAGGTGAAGCCAGGGACCCGGAAAATTAGTGTAACAGATGAGGAGAAGGAGCATAACGTCTACATTATACAGATAACATAACAACGCATCTAGAAGAAGACAAGGATCGCACTGTGCTCCAGCTCGTCTCCCCTGGACACTGAGAGCACGTCCCGTCCACTGGAAGAGCGACAAGCTGAATTACAGGGACCAGAGCAACAGAACAAAATCGACTTTGGCATTTTGAGAGAGAGAGTCCCTCACTGTGTAGACCAGGCTGGCCCAGAACTATGTAGACCAGGCTGGCCTAGATATGTGACCAGGCTGGCCTAGTCTGCCTCTGCTTCCTGAGTTCTGGGATTTAAGGTGTGAGCAACACCCACTATTAACCAAGGATCTAACCCTAGATGGGCAGAAACCAGAACAAAAATATATATAACGTTAAAAAACCAAGATTAGTTGTCTCCTTCAAACATTTACTAACTCTGTATTAATAGTCCTGATCACAATGACTTAGAAGGAATTCCAGATACAGAATTCAAAAGAATGGTTACAAATTTGGAAAACAAGCAACGTCAAGAGGACTCCAGAACTTTTTACAAGAACACAAACAGACACTGAATAAAATAAAGAAGGCAGCTGAAGAGATGAAACTAGAACTTAATAAAGAACTAGAAATGGCCTGACGGCAGTGGTGGTGTGCACACTTAAATCCCAGCATTCACAGGCAGAGGCAGGTGAATCTCAGTTCGAGGCCAGCCTGTGCTACAAAGCGAGTTCCAGGACAGCCAGGGCAACACAGAGAAACCCTGCCTCAAAAATACGAAAACAGCAACAAAACAAAAGAAAAGGAAAACAGAATCTTCTGTGCTGCCTCCAAGAAAAATATCATCAAATAAATGCTACCTTAAAGTAAAAGGAAAATGTACCAAGCGAATAGGGTCGGGAAACAGTCTGACAAATAGACTTCAAATCAGATCCTGTCAGAAGAAAGGAAGAGGGCTTACCTCACACGGACCAAGAGAACGATCCGTTAGGAGGAAATTATAATTTTAAATGCATCCAGAGGCTCATCCAATTTTGTAAAGCAAACACTACTAGATTTAAAATAACAGATTAACTCTCACACAATAATGGCAGGAGACTTCAACACCCCACCTCTGAATAGATCAACCGTACAAAATTCAGAGACTCATGAGGAGATACTTGAAATATTTTTAATTCACTAAAAGTGGAAAAATCTAAATCTATGGGCTTCTAGAGGCATCTGACAAACTAAAGTTAAACCAAGAAGAAGTAAACAGTTTGAGCGGATGTACAACAACGTTGAGGTAAAACGGTAATTCAAAATCTCCCAGTGGAAAACAGGTCGGGGTCAGAAAAATTCCGTGCAGAATTCTACCAAACCTTCAAAGAAGAGCTAATAACAATATTCCTCACATTATTCTTGAAAATACAAAAGAAACACTCCTAAATGCTTTCTTATTTAATTTTATTATTTTGTATTTATATAGGTGTTTCGCTACATGTATGTCTGTGTGCTGTGTGTGTGGATGCCATGGAGGACAGAAGAGGTCTTTGGATCCTCTGTAAATGGAGGTACAGAGGGTTGGGTGTTGCCATGTTGATGCTGAGAATCAAACCTGGGTCCTCTAGAAAAGCAGCCAGCGCTCTTACGCATAGGTCCATCTCCCCGACCTCCGACCCCCAACATTTTTATGAAGCCAGGATTACCCTGATACCAAAACCAGATAAAGACCCAACTGAAAAAAGGAGATTATAGGTCAATCTCCCTGATGAACATAGAATAAAAATTCTCATTTAAATACTTGCAAACAGAATTCAAGAACACATCCATAATAGTTTCCTTTCTGTTTGTAAGGTAAAATACCACGGTGGTTTGAACAGGTATGGCCCCCATAGACTCACAGTGTTTGAATACTTGGCCTATAGGGAGCGGTACGATTAGGAGGTGTGGCTTTGTTGGAGTAGGTGTGGCTTTTTTGGAGGAAGTGTGTCACTGTGGGGGCGGCTTTGAGGTCTTATATGCTCAAGCCATGCCCAGTGCTATAGTCCCTCCTTTTATAGTGCTGCCTGTGGATCAAGACGTAGGACTCTCAGCTGTTCCTCCAGTATGTCTGCCTGAACACCACCGTGCTCCCCACTATGATGATAATGGACTGAACCTGAAACTGTAAGCAAGCCACCTCAATTAAATGTTTTCTTTATAAGAGTTGTGGTGCCGGGCGGTGGTGGTGCAGACCTTTAATCCCAGCACTCGGGAGGCAGAAGCAGGTGGATCTCAAACAAACAAAAAGAAAGAGTTGTGGTCATGGTGTCTCTTCACAGCAATAGAACACCGACTAAGACAAACACTATGACCAAAAGCCAATTGAAGAGAGAATTTATTACGGTTTATGGTTCCAGAGGACTGGATACTCTCGATGGCACAGAAGATGTGGTGAGTAGAAGAAAAGAAATAATTATGGGGATAGTAATAGGGTCTGTCCAAAGCACCATGAGTTCAGAGAGCTTCAAAAGATGCCACCAGAGGTCTGAGTAAGGACTGAGTCACAGGAAGTGCTGCAGCGTGGTGGGGGCCGGGCAGTGACTGCTGAGTTCACCAGCTTTCAGACCCACACTTTTCACATTTCCAAACCAGTATGTGTCACACAGTTGTTACCAGATAGGTGGGTAATCATAGCTCGTCACCACTGCCTGACGTCACCAGGAGGGTGTCAGCATCCAGACACGCAGGTGGGTGTCAAGGGCTTGGAGAGAAAATGCCAGAAGCAGCAGGAACCTCTCTGCATGGGGCTGGGGAGATGGCTCAGTAGGTAAATCAAGTGTGAGGACCTGAGTGTGGGTCCCCAGAACCCACATAAAAGCCCAGTGGGCACGGTGGCCCTTCCACAACCCCTGTACACAGGAGGCAGGGGCAGGAATCCCCAGACCAAGGTTAACAGAAATGGGGACCTCTGGGGTCATCAAAGGACCCCACCTCAACACAGAAGGTAGAGATGGTTGAAAAAGACACCAGCATCGGCCTTGGGCCTTCACACATATATACACACATGTGCACCCTCAACACATCCAAATGTGCACACACACATACACTTGCAAGAAGAAAAGAGAAGAAGAAACCTACACCACAGATGCACCTGTCAGCAGAGAGGTTGAGACTGTGTGGAAAACCAGAGCTGGCAGTCACATGAGCTAGGCATGGTGGTACACCCCAAAATCCCAGCTCTCAGTGGCAAGGAAGGAGGATCTCCACACAAAACTGGATGGGGGTGATCTGCAGGTGGTTTGGATGCCACACATAGGCTCAGATATTTGAATATCTGATCCCCAGTTGGTGGCCCTGTTTGGGAAGGTTTAGGAGGTGTGGCCTTGCTATAGGAAGCACGTCCCCGGGGGCAGGCTTTGGGGTTTCCACCCATGCACCATTCCAAGTTCACTCTCACCTTCCCACTTGTGGTTCCGGAAGTGAACTCTCAGCTTCCAGCTCCCACAACTACACTTGTCTGCTGCCACATGCTCCACCGTGATGGGTCGTGGACCCTCACCTCTGGAACTGTTAGCCCAAACACACTGCTCTTCTGTAAGCCTTCTTGGTCACAGTGTTTCGTCACGGCAGTAGAGAAGCAAATATACATGCAATCGGTGGTGACGGCGTACAGTCTTTAAGTGAACGGCCCATCTTATCCCACCACTACACCCCAACAGATCAGAAAAATCCTAGAAGTGAGTAGTGGTGATGGCCTCTCAGCAGTACGACGTCAGCAATGGGTGTTCTTTTTAAAAGGTTAGCTAACATTAAACTCAGGGAGTCTGCATGGTACATAAATTTTACAGTAAAATTGCAGGGGAGGGATGCTACCTCAAGCCTTCCCCCACTGACTCACAAAGCCGTTGGTGACTCAACTTTGTCATGATTACTGTGAAAACAATGTGTTGTGAGGACTGGCGTGACATCACAGTGCGTGTTACATCACAGGTGACATCATGACATGTCACATCACAGGTGACATCACAACATGTCACTTCACAGATGGCATCA